AATCTTCACTCATCCAGTTGTCTTTCACAAATAGAGCAAAGCAGAATCTGCTTCTAAGTTAAACAAAAAACAGAAATCAGAATGTCAAATTATAATTGGCATATCCCAGACATAATCAATATTGCCTTTTGCAAGTTCCTCCCACAGCTAAAGCAAACCCTGGTTAACGCTGGCCAAATCTTGACTAATTTGGCTTCAAGTTATTACCATACTTAATATCTCTGAATCAACATTGATGACTAAGATGAAGTGAACTACAAAAAATGATCAGTCTTCAATGCAAAAAGTTTCCACTTTGTGCCAATGATTGCTAGTGCACCTGTTTTATGTTCAGAGTGGGAAAAGTATCAAAAAAGATGTGGCCAATTTTGAAAGAGACGGAATGTTTTCAGTATCTCAAAATAGCTCAAATATATAGCATTGCTTCTACTACTTATTCAAACTACAAGGCTGATTAAGCATATGCATAATGTGGGCATAGAAATAAAAAATTACCTCCTTGCATCTCACCTCACCCTCACAGGATCCAAACTACAGAAGAATTGGTATTGATTCAAGTAGAGATGAAGACAAGGCAGCCACTCAGCTACTATCCATGGAGTGTCTAAAAAGAGGCAGCTATGAAGGACTTTCAGAATCGCTGATAGCACACTAACAAGAGCTCTTATTCCAGTTCCTGCTTTCCAGATGGATCCCTATTCTTTTAGCCCAAACAGCTACCCTATAAGAAAGAGCTGCTCTGATCCAAACCCTAAAAAACTAAGAGGAAACCCACTTTGTATTTATTAGCAACAGACTACTCTAAGTCATGGTAAGCTTGTTATTCAGGTAACTAAAGTGGCCACCAAGCATTGCCTGGATGGTCTTCACTAAGGCTAAAGCATGGGGAGTCGTGCTATAGATTTGCAGGATTCATGACCTGAAGGAGTCTAGCGTCCAGTTTTCCTCAGGCTCAGAACAAACAGAGGCTTCAATGCTTAGTTTAGGGTTGTAACTTACCTCTGTGCCAATCAAGGGGACTGTGGTTGATCAAGAAAGGGGAGGGGCAATGAAAACCATTTAAGGGATCGACAGGGGCAGCAGCTCTGAGGAGCAAATGAATCTTATTTAATACATGTAGCTGAAATCTCTAAGTTGAAGATCTCAAGTGTATATTCAAGCCACATAGGGCAGAATGTGACTAGAGCCTCAGGGTAGGGCTACATCCTCAAAGACAGTTGCAACATCAAAGCTCAGGGAAGTGAATGGGATCATGAGGGTAAATGTCCCTCAGCCAAGTTTTTTATTTTGTTTAATCTCCAAGCATAAGATTTTCTTTAACTGATATATCATTTAAAATAATACTCCAGCTGGGCGGTGGTGGCGCACGCCTATAATCCCAGCACTTGGGAGGCAGAGGCAGGCGGATCTCTGTGAGTTAGAGACCAGCCTGGTCTACAAGAGCTAGTTCCAGGACAGGCTCCAAAACCACATAGAAACCCTGCCTCGAAAAACCAAAAAAAAAAATAATAATAATAATATTCCAATGTTTTCTAGTACTATTATGTCTCAGTTTTTAATTATTAGGTCAGTGTTTTGGGCAACTTATTTCAATTTCCATTTATCTCAAATCTCTTTAATGCAAGGTATTTTTGAGGTATTAATGAGGTGGCAGAGCATAATTTTGAACAAGATGTAAGAATTATCCTAACGAAATCCACGGCAGTGAAACTATCCCTTGCACAGTTAAAGGTGTGCATTGGGAAGCTTTCTACAGACGAGGTTCAGCCTACTGTGCAGTCAGGAAAGCGCTCCTTGAAAACTGACACACACACTGATTCAAAAAGTAAATAGGTAGAAAGTTTGAAAATGGAGCGGGTGGGGGAATGTAGGAAAGTCTGACTGCCTCTGAAAAAAAATTGCCCAGACAACAGAGCAAACAAAGGGGGGGTGACAAGAGCTCACTGTGGGAAGTGCTCACGCGTTCTCCTATACTTGTTTTGCACCTTTCACTTGGCTGCACCGAGGTACTGGTCAGCTGACAGCATCATCTTATCCAACCGGCACAGATACCAGAGCCTGTGGTGAGGTACTGACAGCTGATGGTAATATCTGATCAACCTGCACACATACCAGAGCCTGTGGTAAGGTACTGACAGCTGATGGTAATATCTGATCAACCTGCACACATACCAGAGCCTGTGGTGAGGTACTGGCAGCTGATGGTAATATCTGATCAACCTGCACAGATACCAGAGTCAGCTTTACTTTTATGTTTCCATGAAAACAAAAATTGTAACTACTTACCACCAAGCAGGGTGAACACTGTGGAAAGCAACAGGGGGTAACCGGCCATTGCTCTCCACTGAGAATTCCCATAGCACAGACAGCAGCATCCCACACGGTGACTGGGATTGGGTATAAGGCACCTTTGTTGGTTAGCATTCGAGCAACCAAATCCACAAGAACATCCTCAAACGGGAACACACATCTTTCTTTATTATGTATTTCTCTACTGTTTGCCAGAACACTAACATATGGAAATTTCTTTTTCTTTTAACATGCAATATGTTTAAGTTTATGTTATATGCGGAGTTCACTTAGATAAAGTAGAGGTAACATTGAAACTATGCATAGGGAGGCGAAAACTTTGGTTCTGAAATAATTAGTTTACACACTGATAAAATGGTATCCACAAAAGCCCATGCGACTCCTATGAGCTCTTTTACATGTTGGCACTTTTAAACAATACAGTTGACCGTTTCTTTGGGGATAATTTTCTTTGTGTGTGTATGACATGATGTATTAAGATACATATATTAAAGATTGTGAGGTTGAGAGCCCGGGTTAATGCATGCGATCCACAAGGCTTCTTACTACCGTCCATATGTCACACCCACAGAGTAAATTTCTCACTAATAATTGATCTTTTTCCTCCTCATATGGGGTACTTTGTGTAACTAAACAAGTCCAATCTTTTCCACTCGGGGTTCAATCAATTCTCCTACAGAACAACACAACTGTCCTTTTATCCAGGTGTTAGGGGCATGTGCCTTTCATCCCAGAATTCAGGAGGTAGAGGTAAGAGAACTGAGCTGCAGAGTGAGACCTTATTTTAAAGAAAAAGGGACAAAGCAAAGATAACAAGCATAAAAGCGCCCTGTTGCCTTTGAACAACACAACCCTTCATCAGCAACAGGCCTGCACTGCGATCAAGTGTCCTGTACTCCAATCACGTGTCCTGTACTCCGATCACGTGTCCTGTACTCCAATCACATGTCCTATACTCCTCTGATCACGTGTCTCGTGTCAGCTTCTCTCCTTCCCTCATTAGTGCACATCTTTGAGTACTGTTCTTCCTACTGACAATTACATATGATGTCAAGAGATCTAATCTATCCTGAACTCTCTCACTCTACCCTGTCTATACTGCCCTGAATGTGCCCTGGCATTCTTTCAACCCATTCTCCTGCTGCATGTCTCCCTAAAGAGAACTACTGCCAAAATGCAATTAGAAGATCTCCAGCACTGGCATAGAAATGGATAGTAGCAAAGCACTAACAAAAAAGTGTGCCACAGCGAAGAGTAACCTTTTAAGTGATCTGCTTGGAGGACAGCAACTAACAAAAGCTATCTCCTTCCTAGGGACTGATGTAATTGCATGTCCCAGTACACTTTCTAGTCCATAGCTTCTCACGTAAACAAACTATGCATGGCAGTGCTCAACACAGCATCCCATTTGATAATTCTAAGCAACAACACACATTTAATATTCTACATCCACAGGGGCATGATTACATGACTCCAGGGTACACCATACACAGGAAAAGTTATAACCGTCCCCCTGGAGTCACGGCATGTGGAGCTATCTCTCCTCAAAATATTCTACCCAATATAATCTTGTGGAGGGTTAGTACAGTGGAATTTACTGGCAAATAAGACTTTTTTCAAATCCATACCAACTGCTCACTGTTTAATAGGCATCTGTCTCTCAAGCCTATCTCCAAATTATGTCCTGAATCCCTGTCTTCTCCGTGTTCACCTTCTATTGTAAGCACCACACACTATCTACCAGTCCAGTGTGGTTGTGTCTCCATTATATTCTCTATACCAGCACTTCTTCCACAAATAACAATAACATTATTCAAACAAAAATCTTGGTTAGTTCATTCATTATTCCTAAAAGCCTTCAGTAGTCTTTTTTTTTTTTTTTTTTTTTTTTTTTTTTTGGTTTTTTGAGACAGGGTTTCTCTGTGGTTTTGGAGCCTGTCCTGGAACTAGCTCTGTAGACCAGGCTGGTCTCGAACTCACAGAGATCCGCCTGCCTCTGCCTCCCAAGTGCTGGGATTAAAGGCGTGCACCACCACCGCCCGGCTTCAGTGGTCTTTTAGTGCTTTGCTTTTTATGTTCTTGAAATGAAATTCTGATTCTCACAGCCTGTAAAACCTTTGTATAAGCTTCTCTGTAACTCTCCAGTCAAAGTTTCATCTGCCTGTCTGTCTGTCTACCTGTCTGTCTGTCTGCCTGTCTATCTAACTCTCTCTACCTCTATCTCTCCTCTCTCTCTCTCTCTCTCTCTCTCTCTTTCACACACACACACACACACACACACACACACACACACCAGGGACAAGCTCTTTCCTATATCAATACAGTTAAATGTGCTGTTGCTTTAGGTGTTTAGTTTCACTCTTTGTGGACTTTACCCCCCCCCCGCCCCCAGATTTTAATACTGCTGATACAGGGGTTGTGCCTTTTTTACTGACAAACGGAACCTCTGCGATTGGCGTGACACCTGTTACATAAGCTTGCTTAAAAGGCAGGTAGTAAGTTCAGAGGGAACAATGCCAGAGACAGTTGTTTAGAAATTTTTTACCATATGGTTAACAGATCAATGGCTGTGAAGCATTTGTAGAAAAGAAATTATCCAGAAACAATTCCAGAAAGAAAAATCTTTACATGGAAGCAGCCTGTGCCCAAAGAAGCCAATGCCCCACAAGCAAGAAATTTTTTTTTGTTTTTATTTTTGCTTTTTTTTTAATTTTAATATTCTGTACAGACAGGAGTAAATGTGAACATGAAACATTTAAGACTTGATTTGTAATGTAACACTTCCATCTTATTTAAATGTCAATTAAAAAAACAAAACACACCAACCACTATGAAAACAGGCAGCAACTAGGGTCGTAAAAGAACAAAAAAACAAGCTCTTCATAATCAAGTACATCCAAGTGTGAAGAGGGCTGCTCCTGGTGTCTTCACATCCTCCGCTTCTGTGTACTTATATACAGCACATTGTTTCCGCGAATGAACGCATCCCCATACTTATTCTTCAGCTGCCCATTGACATACTCTTCCGTCTGCTCCAGTGCTATATTCATGTAGCCATCCAGGCAGGCCAGGCCCCCTCGATAATCCACCCCAGAATTGAGCTTCACCACAACTGGCCGTCCTATGATCTGCTTTAAGAAGTCACTAGGGGTTTGCTTCCGCAGACTCATTCTTAGCAATCTTGGGAGGCCAGGAACTGAGTTCTAATCTCCTCCGCTACTTAATCAGCTGTGCAGTTGGTAACTATCACCAGGTCACCTCTCATGGCCCCAGGCTCATCTCACAGCCGGATCCGGAGCCTTCACCTAGCAAGAAATTTTTGATCATGTAACTATAATTATATCAGTGACAGAGACTTTGAAGGTGGCAATGGCATTGACAATAGTGATAAAGAGGAATTCGTATTTATTTCCTAATCACTGTCCACCATACAATTAAATAAATTATTTACAAATTTAAACTTGATCACAGGTGAACTCTGCTTCTCCAGCACAGAAACTGTGTAGAACATAACATCCTCCTCCTAAAACCACAGCCAGCTTTGACGATATATTTGAATTCATTAACCTCTTAACTCTGGTATGAGTCCATATTCACAAGTATGACAACGATTAAGTTAATGAGTTAATCATTCCTTCCTAGTTACAGTCTTTCTTAATTAGTTGATTTAAATTGAGGAGGAGGAAGGGGAGGAATCTTCTGGAGAGACAATGTTAATCGTGCCAGATAAGGCTTCTGAAGACTTGGATTTCTTTTTCAGTCCGGTAAATATAGATATATTTTCAATGTTTCTTATAATTTTTAATTCATCAAGTACCACTAAGCTGATTATGGTATTTTTGGCAAAATAAATCATGTGATAAACACTACCTGTCATTTATAGTGGCACTGTGCCTTAAACTGGGTCCTACAGGGGCTATGAATGGGAATGTGGCATGTTACTCACAGAACTGTGAGTGGCAATTTCTCAGCCATGGACCCAAAAGATAAGCCACACTTTCAGAATACTCGAATCCCTTAATAAGCTTTTATTTCACATGCAGTACTTTGTTCCTAGATTTGTTTCAAATTGTCAAAATTTGCTCAACTTTCCCCACATGAATTGGATGAGGTCCCAACAGAGAATTACTAATTGATGCAGACATTGTTCAGATAATATTCTTAACATTTTCTTTTCTCCACTACGATTTCATATTTAAGCTGCCTAAAGGGTTGGCAATTTTGTTTATCTTTTTAAAAAAAAAAAAACTTAACTGCTTCATTAATCTTTTGCAATTTTGTTCTGTTTGTTTCTTAGCTTGTCCATTTGTGGAGATCATAACCAAGCAAGGACATTGCTGAAAGAGGCTATAAACACTCCTGAAGAATAGAAACCAAAAGTATTACCAAACTAAATTCAGTATTATATTATAAAGCTCATTCCCCTTGACTGAGATCCTTGTCAAGTATGGAAGGATGCGCCAATATATGCAAATAAATGGAAACAGCCCTTCATATCAATGTAAAAATGTCAGGTGCTCATTTCAGGAGAGGCAAGAAAAATGACAAAATTAAACCTCTCATCAAAGTGGCAAATTAAGTTTACAATAATATGTAACAAACTCACATCTACTATCACACCAAACTACAATATTTAAAGATTTCTCTCTAAGACCTAGAACAAGACAGGAGTGGGCTCTTCAATCATGATTGTCAACACACACTAGAAGTTCTAGATAGAGACATTTAGCAAGAGTAAAAATAAAGGCATAAAAATTTAAAAATGAATAAATCTAATAGTCTTTTTCTGCAGATGCATCTTATACTTAAAAAACTGGAAAGAATACATCAAACAACTGTTTAAACTAGCTAATAAATAATTTCTGTGAAACTTGAAAGTATAAATCAACCCAAATGTGGAGCATTTATATCTATTAATGGTAAAGTTGGGAAGAAGTCAAGTAAAAAATTATTTTTTATATTAAGTTTATTCATTTATTTTACATCTCTACAGCTGTTTCCCCTCCTTCCTTTCCTTCGTTCTTTTCCACACTCCCTCCCCACCACTCACCAATCTACTCTTCCTCTGTTTCTGTTCAGAAAGGGCAGGCTTCCCATGGATGTCAACAAAGCATGGGCTATCAAATTGAGAAGGGACTCAGCTCCTCCCTTGTGTAGAGGTTGGGCAAGGCAACCCAGTATGTGTAATAGATTCTGAGCACTGGACTGAGCTCCCAAGGTCCCAATGAGGAGCAGAAGGAGGGAGAACATGAGCAAAGAAGTCGGGACCACGAGGGGTGCACCCACCCACTGAGACAGTGGAGCTGATCTACTGGGAGCTCACCAAGGCCAGCTGGACTGTGACCGAAAAAACATGGGATAAAACCGGACTCTCTGAACATGGCGAACAATGAGGGCTGATGAGACGCCAAGGACAATGGCACGGGGTTTTGATCCTACTTAATGTGCTGGCTTTGTGGGAGCCTAGCCAGTTTGGATGTTCAACTTCCTAGATATGGACAGAGAGGGGAGGACCTAGGACTTATCACAGGGCAGGGAACCCGGACTGCTCTGTGGTCTGGAGAGGGAGGGGGGAGAGGAGTGGGGGGAGGGGGAGAAGGGTGGGAGGAGGGGGAGAAGGGTGGGAGGAGGGGGAGGGAAATGGGAGGCTGGGAGGAGGTGGAAACTTGTTTTTTGTTAATGTTTTTTTTCTCCTTTTCTCAATAAAAAAAAATTTAAAAAAAAAAATAGATTCTAGGAAGTCCACCAGAGCATTAGTTAGGGACAGGCACTGCTCCCACCACCAGGAGTCCCACACGTAGATAAAGCTGCACAACCTTCACACATTTGTAGAGGGCCTATGTCGGTTCCATTCAGGCTCCCTAACTTATCGGTCCAGAGTCTATGAGCTGCTACACAGGGCAGGGAGTTGCATTTTGGGGTTAGGGAGAAACCTGGTGCCAATAAAACTCTCAGGAATCCAGAAAAATGACCCTAGCTAAGACTCCTCAGCAATAGTGGATAGCCTGAACTGACCATCTACTGTAATCAGATTGATGACTACAATAATTGTCATCAGAGACTTCATCAGTTCATCCAGTAACTGATGGAAACAGAAGCAGAGATCCACAGCTAAGCACTGGGCCGAGCTCAGGAAATCCTGCTCAAGTGTTGAAGAAGGGGAGGAAGGATTGTATGAGTCAGGGGGCTCAAGGTCATCAAAAAGGAACTCACAGAAACAACTAACAAGCAAGAAAATCTATTTGTGATAGCTACAAAAATTTAAATACTTATAAATAAATGTAACCAAAGAGGGCAAACTCTAAAACATTAAATAAAGAAATTGAATAAGATACAGATGAAATAAATCCATTATTTGTAGTTTTTAATGTTTAAATGTGTGTATTACTGAAATTGCCCTATAACTTCAATGAAATGTTAGTCCAACTCATTATAGTCTATATTAAAGTAAATAAGGAAAAGAAAAGCTGGAGGCATCTCACACTCTGACTTAAAAATGCACTACAGAGCTTAAGGAATCAAAACTACACTGTGCTTCATAAAAACAGTCATGCAAGAAAAAAACTAGATATTGATAATCAATTGGATTTTGATTTTTAAAAAAGGATTAAAAATGTTCAGTGAGAAAGAAGAGTCTATTTAATAATGTTGAGAACATTAGACATCTATACACAAAACTATGTACTGAAAATAGACCTGGGTGTGGTGGCTCCAAACTGTAGTACCAAAACTAAGAAGGCTGAAAAAGAAGGATCTCTAGGAGTTCTGAGCAGTCTGGGTAGAGGCTGAGATGCTGTCTAAAAAAATGAGGAAGGAAGGGAAAGATGACCCATAAACCTCATCATAGACAGAAGAAGCATAAAGCAAATTAAGGTCTTAAATGTAAAATGCAAAGCTATGCAAAAAATACTAGAAATACAATATAAGCTAAGACCTCCATCATGTTTGTCTGACCAACACTTTTTTGGACATGATTATTAAGGTATAGGCAAAAAAAATCAGAAGACATCAAACTAAAAAGCTATTGTAAAGCAGACTGAACAATTTCCAGAGTAATAACCTACAACATGTGATAAGGGCTTTATGAACTATTTGTCTGATAAGGGGTTAATACCCAAAGGACGTGCTTACCTCTCTGTTCAATGACAAGAACAGAAAGAACAAGGTAGAAATGGCTAAGATATTCCAGATGAGGCATTTCTCAAAGCAAGACAGAAACAGCTAGCAAGAGCTTTTTTTTTTCATTTCTGCATCTTTTTTTTATTTATTTATTAAGGATTTCTGCCTCCTCCCCGCAACCGCTTCCCATTTCCCTCCCCCTCCCCCTCCCCCGATCAAGTCCCCCTCCCTCATCTGCTAGAAGAGCAATCAGGGTTCCCTGACCTGTTCAAAATCTCATATAGGAAGATACAAAGCAAAACCACAATGAACAATTACCATACTTCATTTAATATTTTTAGAGTCGAAAAAGAAAAATGGATAAAGGTTGGGGGTGTAGCTAAATAGTAGAGTAATTTAGGATTTTCCTCTGTATACTGTGATTACCATTAATGAATAAAGAAACTGCTTGGGACCTATATCAGACCAGAAGTTAGGTAGGTGGGGAAAACTAAACGGAATGCTGGGAGAAAGAAGGAGGAGTTAAGGAAGAAGCCATGTAGCACCACTGAAGACAGAGGTCAGAACTTTAGCCAGTAAGCAACAGCCACATGGCAATACACAAATTAATAGAAAAGGGTTAAATTAACATGTAAGAGTAAGATAATAAGAAGCTAGAGCTAATGGGCCAAGAAGTGATTTAATTAATACAGTTTCTGTGTGATTATTTCAGTTCTGGGTGGCCGGGATGAACAAGCGGAGACGGGAATCAACAGTGGCTCTCTCCTTACTACAAATTAGCAGTGTAATACAACAGTGGAGTGTTTGCCTAGCATGAGAGAGGCTGTGTTCCATTCCCAGCACTGAAGAAAAAATAAAACAAGCAAAAAGACAAAAATGGTGTTCGTGAAAATGTATGCTACTACAGATACTATGGAATCCATGTAGAGGATCTTCAAAAAAACTTTAGCAACTATCATATGATCTAGCAAGAACCCTAAGAATGTAGCCAAAATAAGTTTGGGAAAATGGTCTTTCATTCCCATGACCCATGCATCAGTGTTTACAACAGCCAGAATGCAGAACCTCAAGTCCTATGTGAATAATGAAACACTATTTCACCTTAAACACAAGAAATTCTGTAATATTTGCAATAGAGATGAATATGGAGGATATTAGGTAAAATAACACAGGCAGAGAAACCCTG